TTAGCAACCATGTTAATGATTTGGTCAACTCTGATTTGCAGCAGTGCAGAGTTAATGCCATAATTCTTCTTAAAATTAATGGAAGTAAAAATGTATCCTGTTTACTTGATCTAGCGTTACGTTTGCATTACACTTGTTTGGTTTGGCCATGGATACCTTCGCACTAAACAAGGGACACGAGGCAGCTTTTGATTTACCTGGTCCTGGAGTTCGAATGCCTCCACCACATGGGGCTTTTCAGGTAACAGTATACCTTCAGGTCGGCAATTTTCTTCAAATTTGGATTTTTGGGTCAACATAGTGGTCGAAGAATAATCTCTATTTCCTGAAAAAATGTTTTGAAAAAGAGTAAATATTGGCAGAGAAATGGTGGTTTTACATTTTCGCTGGAAGTAAAAGTTTGTCTCTTGATTGACAGCCCTATGGCATATATCCAATCAACCAAGAAGATTTTCACAGAAATTACCTAGATACAGATACTTAATTGATCAGCATTGTTGTTCTGACTACCAAGCATTTTTGGTACATGTATTAGGTGTAAGTCTATTAAGTTATAAGTAAACGTAGACCACGTTAAAAACATGGACCAGTTCAAAAAAGCGAAAACAGTGAAGAACGAATGAAAATACATCAATGAGTGAAGAAGCAAAAGTTCGCCACATGGATTAAGCTATAGCTATCATATAAGGCCAGCAAAAAAATCAAGGTAAGAGAAAGAAAGGTTCTGTAAAAATTTGGAACTTGACAGCAATAACAGGGATGTTGACAGAGACTCCGATGAATCTGATATCGACGAATCATTGGACTCATTGAGACCCATTGAAATATTATCCATGCAGAGTTGTTTTATTTGTTTTCTTCACCCAGCCATTCAAAAGTTCGTATCCTTTTTCGTCTCCTTCATTATGCCAGTGATCAACTTCAAGAAAAACCAAGCCACAGAAAAATTATCCCTCCGCCTTCGGCACCTTGAGCGCATTGCAGACAAGGTTTTTTGGAGATTTACGCATAAATTTCACCAGGAGGATAACGGTAGTAAACTTTCCCTGCACTGATTGGCTCAGTTATCTGAGAACCCAGTTGACGGTGTTTGTGGGTGGAGCTTGCTTGCAAAGCAAAAGATTTTTCATAGCGCTGTTTTCTCAAATAAATGTTTTTGCTTGAAGCAGACACTTTAAAAAGTTATAACTCAAAGGGAATTTGTTCAATTGCCCTCATATTTGGACAGTAGCTAGTTTAACAATATAAACTACAAAAACACGTCTGCGAACTGTTAATTTTGAAATCTTTTTTCTTCGAGAGTGATTTTTGTACGATTGCTCTACATTTTTTTAATCCTATTTCAAAAATGTTCTGTAACTTTTTACTGCAATTGAATATGGCAAAACGCAGACATTTTTTTAAGTGCTTTGGGGAAGGTATACGGTAACCTTAAGGTTATTCAGGTTACCATAAGATTAAAGTTATTGAAACATGTGACAAATTAAAAACATGAAGGCATAAAATAAACTTATTATCATTTAAAAACTGCAAAGACAAAGCATATGACTTAATTGATGTATTCCTTTCCTGAAAGAAAAATTTCAGCGATCTTTGGCAAACAGGTGTTTTGAAAAACATGTTGCTTGACAGCTTTACTTTGCCGCTATAACTACATGTGTAAAGTAATTCAATACGTTGTTTTGACTATGAATAAGTTAACTAGGTTATTTAAAAGAGCTTAAAGTGCCACTAACCACCCCCCAATTTTTTTTCTTTAATAAAATCTACTGGTTTCCCTGATTACTTCAGCGAAAAAATTATCGTCATTGATAAAATTCCTGAGTTTCTACAGGCATTTAAACACGTAATTTCTATGTTCACGACCACGCAAAGTGGGATCTGGGTCGGGTTATTAGTGACATCACTTCGGGAACCGTGCTAAACCACTGAAGAGACTTTTGACTGAGCTTTGAGCTTAGTAAAAACATCTTTGGGTTACTGGTGATTCATATTAATTTTTATCAAACTGGACAATACTTTTAAGTGAAAGAACTGTATCATCTAGCATTAAAATTCGAATTCAATTCTACTGTAGCTACGATTTGGACGGCTGCGATGTATAATTATATATTTTTTCCATTCTGAAGTGTGGGTCACTAGTCGAGATCACCATGTTGTATATTATATTTAAGCCAGGATCGACAATTTGCCAGTCCATTTGGGTTATGAACGTACAAATAATGACTGAAGAGTTAACTTACAGCTCTTAAAGAGTTATAAAGATGTCAATGAACACAAAGCGTTGGATATTTGACTTTACGGAACGTACAGATTTCGGAGCATCAAATCATGTTTGGATTCAAACATTACTTTCCCCCAAAATACAAGTTAAAATAGTTTTAACATAAGAGATAAGCAGAGATGTCAGAAAACAATATCTGAAGGTAAGGAAACTTTTCACTTCGTTATTGTCGACCGACCGTAGTATATGCACAGTCAATTATTTTGTATGAACACAAGCTACATAAATTTGCACATTTCATACTAGTAAATCATGGAAAATCCTTTGACAAGATCTTGAAAAGAGAGGTTCAGTATAGAATCAGTTAAATGAACACATTTCTACTTGGCTGTTATTTTGAATGAAATGTCTATTTCGCTATGCTAATAACCTGGGAGTCCTCGACTTATTAGTTTGCGTTTCGGTTGACTGAGAAGCACATTCTTCTTTCAGCACGACAATCTCCGTCGGTAACTATACAGTNTCAATTTCTTGATCTTTGTGACTAGGTTGGCTTGGTATGTTTCCCAATGATGGAGGATAATGGGCAAAATGAAAGATTTCTGATGCCCGAAGAAGGTGCGGGCAGAATAAACATGGAGTCCCATGTGGTGAAACACCAGCAACACCTTGTTAATGGATGCTCCTGCCATCAACACTGCAAAACTCAACAAGATGTTGCCAATAGGGTATTTCCCACCGAGTGGTGGTGGCTGGGGTTTCCAAATGTAAGAATCCTGACATTGGGGACAACTCTGTGTCACAGTGATCATTGTACCATTCTGCTTGACTGTAGCTGATGGCCCACTTTCTTTGCATTTAAAGCAGAACAGGGTGAATAATTTGACTAACATGCTGTAAAATACAATAAATTTGGGCTCATCATAAGCTGGAGCATCTGGGTCAATCCTGCAAAAACAAGTGAAAGAAAGTTTAACAATCCTTGTATTCAAATCTAGGGTTGTATTTTGACGTGTACATCACTAGGACTTTTCCCAAAGAAAAAACTGTACCCCTTAACATGTTAAGATACATGTCTGTACATGTTGGTATTGTTCTAACATCCTTTACAAAGAGTGCATAGTATGAATATTGTCCCATTACTGCAATTGCTAGCACTTTTGAATGAATGAAGAAATGCTCCAGCAGAAGATTAGAAATCACATTAAAAATAAAATTCAATACGCAAAACAATCAAAAATACAGTAAGAGTTTTTTGCTATGAATCCTAACAATTCCTGATTGTTAACAGAATCTTAACCAAACCTGATTTCATTTTCTACTTCTTCTTCTGCAGAGCTCTTCCTCCTCCTCATCTTGTGTGCAATCACCTTCTGCCTGAGGATCCCACTTGCTGTCCTTCTCAGTCAAACTATCGTCAGGTCCAGTGCTGTTCCATATAAAGTAATCTTCTTGTACTTCCTGCCCATCTTTCTCTTCATCACCTGGGGCTTTTTCAACAACTTTCTGTTATGACAGAAAAAAAAAAGAAAGGAAAGGGATTGGACTGCATTGTATATTGCTTTCATAAACCCTACAGCTCTGTCCTGGAAAACAATTATTTGATGATACGAACATAAAAGTAGCCATTGATAATGATTCTATATTTTGATTATCACTTGCTTGTAGCAAGGTTTCAGGAATGACTCAGGACTTATTGACAGGTATTTATAACAGTCTTGGTTGACACATACATGTACAAGCAGTGATTAACTATTAATAATAACATTGGATAGAACAACCTCTTTAACACAAGTTAAAAAGAATACAATATTTTTACGTAGTACTCACACTTTTTAATTCTCTGACATTCTGCTTCAGTTCTGTGATTTTTCTTCTCAGGCACCCATTGGTCTTTTGTAGACTTCTGTATTTCCTTTTATGTGCACAGTCACTCCCACAAGAGTTGCTACTCACAGATAACCTTGGCGTCACTGCTGGAGATGGGGTGCACACAGGATTTGCTGTAGTGAGAGGGGTGGTGCAGGTAGTTATAACCATGTCAGAGGCAGTGGCAGTAGTGCTTGAGGTTGGGCTTGCGCTTGGGGTTGTCATGTCCATGGCAATGGTGGTATTGCTGGCAGTTGAAGCTGTTTCTGTTTGAATGCTAGACGTAGTAATAGCATCTGACTAAGTTGGATCGCTGCAACCACCTAAAGCAACTAAATCTATGCCTTCAGTGACTTCTTCCACAGTACCTAGTTTCCTTTTCTTCCAAGCCTCCATTTTTCTCCAAAGGCATCTCGCCTTAGCTGTTTAAAAACGAAAAACATCAAATTTGTTGCACAGGTGTGTATATCACTGCATACTAAGTTTCAAAATTTACAGATCGCGAGCTTCACGATACAACACCCTGTTCTTATCAAGCTTAGTCCACTGTCATGTTAATTTTTCTTTCCCGCCGTTGAAACGTCTTGTTGAATAATCACAAAATAAACCATTGTTAGAAGACAGGAATGTGAAGCGTGGTAAACAAAACTACAGTATGCACGAAAAAAATAAACTGAACTTCATCTTTGACTTCTAAAAAGGGGTTTTTGGCAGGCATATCCTTCAACAGCTTCATGCACAAACTTAAATGCTTCAAGAAGCGGTAAGCTACAGACTGTAAGCCCACTGTATAAGGTTCAACGTGAACAGAAAATATTCACTTACTTGTCGCTTTTTCCGTTCAGTCAAAACTTCAGGTCCTTCAGGAAGAACAGTGTGTCTTGTAGGAATAGAACCTTTAACTAGGTCAATCCCATGGACCAAGCTAGGTCATTCTCAAAACAACTCTGCTCGAAATGAACTGAACACAACAAAGTATATTTCACAACTGGTTCGGCAAAATCCATGCGATGCCTCTGGATGAATTTAACCCATTTCGCCCTAACTGTCGGATTTTTCAGGAAATCGTGCATCATTACGCCTGGTGTGTAACTAGTATTCTTGCAACTTTGACCATTCGGCGCTCCAGCCACACAATATCGACCCCCATGCTTCAAGTGTTTCCCTTCGCCTTCAGCCATGTTGGTTTGTTTATCAAACACAGTGACGTCACAGACGTAAATCATGTGACATTTTGGCCGCGCGATCTCTGGGACAATTTCAACATGAAAGTAACGCATATTTCGAATGAAAAAAAAGGGGTTTCAAAATATTCTCACGATCTAAAAACTCTACCACCATTTTTCTAACATTATTAACTACCAGAATCAGCGGAAAAAATAAATTGTGTCATATACACTTTAAACAAACATTAAAGTTTACACCTTATGGCGTTATGGTGTTATGGCTTAGTGCATCAGTGCCTTAGCGAACAGCAACCCCCTAAACCATCCCAATAGTGCACTCTGCACTAAAAAGGATCTGTCCAATTCCGCTTCAGCGTTCATCACAGGTGGCTGTTCTAATTTTCGATTAGAATCTGTCACTTGTGTTGTGCTTTCCAGTCTTGCTAGTAATTGGAACTAGCCAATGTCAACGCTTGGCTAGTAAATATTTTTTGGCTAGTAACATCTAAGTTGTCACTAGCTACTAGGGTAGAAGATTGAAAAGTTTAATAGTGTTGAGCCCTGGTTGAACTTCCTCGGACCAGGGTGTCTAGAAAACAAAGACCGAAGACTGAAGACCCCTAGAAAATGAAGACCCCGTTGAAAATGTAGACCTCGAAAACAAAGACCCCTCCAACTTCTATCTGTAAGGCGAAAGATTGATGTCACAATGCTTCGATCGGAAACAACCTAATAAATGATAAATTTTATGAAAGTCGTTGTGACAAGTCTTGCCAGGGTGCTACAATAATAATATACATATTATATTATAATATATAATATGTATTAATATGTACTAATTCCTGCAAAGCGAGAAGTTTTTCTGTAGGAAGACATGCCCCCCGAGCCACAGAGTCCAATTCGATACCTAAGACCACACGTCAAGATGAAGGACCTACACACTTGTTGGGGTGAAGGGGGAGGCCTAATCATTTACAAACTGCCACAGAAGTTGCCAGGTTTAGAGCAGATTGGTTAAAGTTGGGAGGGAAGTCATCTAAGTATTGCAGGAGATCTGACACATGGTAGGGACTGAGGAGGATCCACTTCACCATGTCAACCATGGAATAGAAGACATATGGGGGAGAACAGAGCCCAAAAGGGAAGAGCTGAGTCCACATAGACCAGATTCTGCCACTTCACACCCAAGAGGTAATGATGGGATGGATGCAATACTTTGTTGCAATGTGCAAGCACGACATCAAATTTGCCATCAAGGATTTTGGACTGTACTTAGCAACCATGTTAATGATTTGGTCAACTCTGATTTGCAGCAGTGCAGAGTTAATGCCATAATTCTTCTTAAAATTAATGGAAGTAAAAATGTATCCTGTTTACTTGATCTAGCGTTACGTTTGCATTACACTTGTTTGGTTTGGCCATGGATACCTTCGCACTAAACAAGGGACACGAGGCAGCTTTTGATTTACCTGGTCCTGGAGTTCGAATGCCTCCACCACATGGGGCTTTTCAGGTAACAGTATACCTTCAGGTCGGCAATTTTCTTCAAATTTGGATTTTTGGGTCAACATAGTGGTCGAAGAATAATCTCTATTTCCTGAAAAAATGTTTTGAAAAAGAGTAAATATTGGCAGAGAAATGGTGGTTTTACATTTTCGCTGGAAGTAAAAGTTTGTCTCTTGATTGACAGCCCTATGGCATATATCCAATCAACCAAGAAGATTTTCACAGAAATTACCTAGATACAGATACTTAATTGATCAGCATTGTTGTTCTGACTACCAAGCATTTTTGGTACATGTATTAGGTGTAAGTCTATTAAGTTATAAGTAAACGTAGACCACGTTAAAAACATGGACCAGTTCAAAAAAGCGAAAACAGTGAAGAACGAATGAAAATACATCAATGAGTGAAGAAGCAAAAGTTCGCCACATGGATTAAGCTATAGCTATCATATAAGGCCAGCAAAAAAATCAAGGTAAGAGAAAGAAAGGTTCTGTAAAAATTTGGAACTTGACAGCAATAACAGGGATGTTGACAGAGACTCCGATGAATCTGATATCGACGAATCATTGGACTCATTGAGACCCATTGAAATATTATCCATGCAGAGTTGTTTTATTTGTTTTCTTCACCCAGCCATTCAAAAGTTCGTATCCTTTTTCGTCTCCTTCATTATGCCAGTGATCAACTTCAAGAAAAACCAAGCCACAGAAAAATTATCCCTCCGCCTTCGGCACCTTGAGCGCATTGCAGACAAGGTTTTTTGGAGATTTACGCATAAATTTCACCAGGAGGATAACGGTAGTAAACTTTCCCTGCACTGATTGGCTCAGTTATCTGAGAACCCAGTTGACGGTGTTTGTGGGTGGAGCTTGCTTGCAAAGCAAAAGATTTTTCATAGCGCTGTTTTCTCAAATAAATGTTTTTGCTTGAAGCAGACACTTTAAAAAGTTATAACTCAAAGGGAATTTGTTCAATTGCCCTCATATTTGGACAGTAGCTAGTTTAACAATATAAACTACAAAAACACGTCTGCGAACTGTTAATTTTGAAATCTTTTTTCTTCGAGAGTGATTTTTGTACGATTGCTCTACATTTTTTTAATCCTATTTCAAAAATGTTCTGTAACTTTTTACTGCAATTGAATATGGCAAAACGCAGACATTTTTTTAAGTGCTTTGGGGAAGGTATACGGTAACCTTAAGGTTATTCAGGTTACCATAAGATTAAAGTTATTGAAACATGTGACAAATTAAAAACATGAAGGCATAAAATAAACTTATTATCATTTAAAAACTGCAAAGACAAAGCATATGACTTAATTGATGTATTCCTTTCCTGAAAGAAAAATTTCAGCGATCTTTGGCAAACAGGTGTTTTGAAAAACATGTTGCTTGACAGCTTTACTTTGCCGCTATAACTACATGTGTAAAGTAATTCAATACGTTGTTTTGACTATGAATAAGTTAACTAGGTTATTTAAAAGAGCTTAAAGTGCCACTAACCACCCCCCAATTTTTTTTCTTTAATAAAATCTACTGGTTTCCCTGATTACTTCAGCGAAAAAATTATCGTCATTGATAAAATTCCTGAGTTTCTACAGGCATTTAAACACGTAATTTCTATGTTCACGACCACGCAAAGTGGGATCTGGGTCGGGTTATTAGTGACATCACTTCGGGAACCGTGCTAAACCACTGAAGAGACTTTTGACTGAGCTTTGAGCTTAGTAAAAACATCTTTGGGTTACTGGTGATTCATATTAATTTTTATCAAACTGGACAATACTTTTAAGTGAAAGAACTGTATCATCTAGCATTAAAATTCGAATTCAATTCTACTGTAGCTACGATTTGGACGGCTGCGATGTATAATTATATATTTTTTCCATTCTGAAGTGTGGGTCACTAGTCGAGATCACCATGTTGTATATTATATTTAAGCCAGGATCGACAATTTGCCAGTCCATTTGGGTTATGAACGTACAAATAATGACTGAAGAGTTAACTTACAGCTCTTAAAGAGTTATAAAGATGTCAATGAACACAAAGCGTTGGATATTTGACTTTACGGAACGTACAGATTTCGGAGCATCAAATCATGTTTGGATTCAAACATTACTTTCCCCCAAAATACAAGTTAAAATAGTTTTAACATAAGAGATAAGCAGAGATGTCAGAAAACAATATCTGAAGGTAAGGAAACTTTTCACTTCGTTATTGTCGACCGACCGTAGTATATGCACAGTCAATTATTTTGTATGAACACAAGCTACATAAATTTGCACATTTCATACTAGTAAATCATGGAAAATCCTTTGACAAGATCTTGAAAAGAGAGGTTCAGTATAGAATCAGTTAAATGAACACATTTCTACTTGGCTGTTATTTTGAATGAAATGTCTATTTCGCTATGCTAATAACCTGGGAGTCCTCGACTTATTAGTTTGCGTTTCGGTTGACTGAGAAGCACATTCTTCTTTCAGCACGACAATCTCCGTCGGTAACTATACAGTTGAATCTTAATCGTTTGTTTCACTTTCCTCATATATTTATAAATGCTTGATCCATTCTAAGTTTGTAATTTAGATATATTTTGTTCCTCAAAGACGAAGCTCAAAGAACAAAACAATTCTGTATTTGGAATGGTCATTGAGGAACACGGCTGGACTACGACCTCCGGCGAGCTGTGTTTTTATTAAAATCCACGACTACATAGCTAGTTCACCAGTTTGAAGCCTCAACAATCTTATTCACCTCGTTGTAGAACGTAGGTTTTGTTTCCTTTTTATTATCATTATTATTATTATTATGCATTGTTACACACACTGTTTACAACACTTACACAGCTATGTTACTTACAAGACTAATAGATATACTTACATTATTTATAATACTTCGTACTCAATGTAATTTACAATGCAGTACATACATTACTTACAATACAATACAATCACTTACACTACTTACAATACAATACAATAACTCAAGTTGAAGCCCCCTGGAACAGAAAATCCTGGGGAAGGGGTTGGGGTCAAACTGGAAGAAAAAACCAGTGGGGGGTATGGATACTTTCTGAAACCACTCATTGAGTGTTCTAAATATTTTATTGTATCAGGTTTAATTCAAAGGGGAAATCAAAGTGAATTAGTTCATCTAAGCTCTGTATTATTAATTAACATTATTTTTGCATATTAAGTTGATTTAATTATCCTTATTAAATAAAATAATTTTGGGCTAACTCCTCAGAGATTTGGGCTAGTAAAATGAAATTACAGCTTGCCTGAAGGGCAAGCAGAGTTTCTGAATTTCATCTCACCCTGTGTGGCGCATCCGGTTTAAGTTGTAGATACCTAAACCCCTATCTCAAATTAAAGCTTACAGAGCTGGCTATCAAACTATACCAAGAATTTTAAAATAAAATGAAATGCCGAATTTTTCACAACCACTGAATGCAAGAGCCTGAATCACCATTTAAAAGCTACAAGTCAAAGAGAATTTTGTTTTTTGCTAATTTATTTTTTCCTCAGTTTCAGGAACCAAAGCACTAAAAAAACACGTCTGCATTTCGCCATATTCATTTGCAGTAAAAAGTTATAAAACATTTTCAAAATAGCATTTAAAAAATGTGAGGTGATCGTACAAAAATTGCTCTCGGAGAAAAAATACATTGTATTTCAAATTAAACAATTTGCAGACAACTTCTTGTTGCTTATAAGTTAAACTAGCTACTGTCCAAATTTGAGGGCAATCGAAAAAAAACCTTTTGAGTTGTACCTCTTTTAAGTGTCTGCATCAAACGAAAAAATTAATTCATAAGAAAACAGCGCTAAGAAAAAAACTCTTGCTTCGCAGACAAACTCCACCCACAAACACCTTCCACTAGGTTCTCAGATAACTGAGCCAATCAGTGCTTGGAAAGTTTACTCCCATTAAGGAAGGTGCCTCCTTTTGTTACAGCGAACACGTTCTGCACATTACACAAGGCATGGTTTAAGCACCACACGTGCACTGAGGTTTACATTGACGCAATCAACTACGCTACCAAGTACACAACTAAATTGAAAGCAAGATTTTCCTACTGTGACCAAATCAAGTTTAATGAGCCTGTACTTAACCCAGGGGGAGAAGAGCAGCATATTGCTAACCACTCACTGTTAATGTCCTCCAGCTGAAAAACTAGCTGTTATCTGACAAAAATTAAACTGAAATCCAACTGTAAACACGTTCCCATCAATGGCGTAGTGCGTGCACAAAACAAGTGTGAAATACGCAAATGTTTTACATACTGGGCAGGTGACAGGAAAAAATATAATGCGCCCCATAAAAGTTTTCAAAAAAGATGAATAACAGTACTTTAAACAAACGCGTGGTCACCCCTGCATTTTATGTCACAAAATGGAAGTGGCAAGCCTATTCAACATGTGATTAGTTTCTGGTTGTGAACAAAAGGTATCTTGATTGTGTTTTAGCTGAACCAGAGGAAGGCTGTCAGAGACGCTAAAAGCGCGGTTGCAACAATTTTTTTGTGAAAAACATACCAAAAATGATTTTTATGTTACCATTTACCATGCAGTTTTAAGATCCTTATAAATGTGTTTGCTTTTCTGTATGTAAAGGCACATTCTAAGGAAATCTGTGAAGAACTGTCCTTTTCTTCTTTTTCTTCAGAAAAAATGCCAATGTCAGTATTTTTTGAGATTCAAAGCTAATTATCTCGAAAAAATGCGTGGTTACACCCAGTTTTCTTTGTGGATTCCAATAGTCCTCGCAAAGATCTACTTTTTCCACATGGTACTAACCTGGTG